AGAACATTGAGACCCTGGTGGACGAGGACCAGCAGCAGACCAGACGCTTCCAGGACCTGGAGGAGCGGTATACAGAGGTTGCAGACGGAGTGGACAATATCTTCATGGACAGCATGAAGGTGTTCGACCACATGCGTTCCTTCCACCAGCCCAGCTTCTTCCCCAGACCCTTCCGTATGCCCAGTATGTTCGGTAGTCAGTCCAGCCGGGCCGCTCGGGTCTACAGGTCCCCTCTGCACAACCCAGAGTTCCACAGCTTCCATAGCTTCCACAGCATGTTCCGCCCCATGATGGACATGGCAAGAAACATGTTCGACTCTGTTCGGCCCTACATGGGAAGTGATATGGATTTCCCTTCGGAAGGTAAATTTCAGGGTCTACAAGCCTGGTGGATATAACAACATCTACAAAGTTAAAAGTGCTGTAAGCAATATTCATCACAATTAAAGTAACAGTCCAACCAAAAATGCCATCACCGTTTACTCGCAGTCATATCGCTCTAAATCTGTATGAATTTCTTTCTTCTGTTGAACATGAAAGAAGATATTTTGAAGGATGCTAAAACAGTTCAGGTTCCCATAGACTTCCATTCCTTTTTTTTCAGTAGAAGTCAATTTTTTTTCTTTATTATGGCAATATGACGTAATACTTTTTTTTTCTTTATTATGGCAATATGACATAATACACTATAATGACATAAAATAGTAGTTTGTTTTTTTTACTTACATACCGCTTATACCCCATGCATTTAATCTGTAAACCTGTATTCCCAGATGGCAGAGTAAACGAGGATGTTATTATAACTAAACCATTTGGAAATGATAAGATGACCTGCAGGGAGATTCGTCGCAATTCTGCTGGCTGCATTAAACTGAAAGATGAGTGTGAGAAATGTAAAGAGATCCAGCATATTGGTAAGTGCAATACTAAAATACACAATTTTACGTTACATTATCCAGCACAGAAATGAAAAAAAAAATTGGTCTCAGTTTGGGAGTTTTTGATGAGAATTCCATCTTACAATTAAAGCTTTGTTTTCTTCTTCAGACTGTTCTGGAAAGAGGCCCCTGGAAGGTTAAAGTAACAGTCCAACCAAAAATGCCATCACCGTTTACTCGCAGTCATATCGCTCTAAATCTGTATGAATTTCTTTCTTCTGTTGAACATGAAAGAAGATATTTTGAAGGATGCTAAAACAGTTCAGGTTCCCATAGACTTCCATTCCTTTTTTTTCAGTAGAAGTCAATTTTTTTTCTTTATTATGGCAATATGACGTAATACTTTTTTTTTCTTTATTATGGCAATATGACATAATACACTATAATGACATAAAATAGTAGTTTGTTTTTTTTACTTACATACCGCTTATACCCCATGCATTTAATCTGTAAACCTGTATTCCCAGATGGCAGAGTAAACGAGGATGTTATTATAACTAAACCATTTGGAAATGATAAGATGACCTGCAGGGAGATTCGTCGCAATTCTGCTGGCTGCATTAAACTGAAAGATGAGTGTGAGAAATGTAAAGAGATCCAGCATATTGGTAAGTGCAATACTAAAATACACAATTTTACGTTACATTATCCAGCACAGAAATGAAAAAAAAAATTGGTCTCAGTTTGGGAGTTTTTGATGAGAATTCCATCTTACAATTAAAGCTTTGTTTTCTTCTTCAGACTGTTCTGGAAAGAGGCCCCTGGAAGGCCCCCTGAAGGAGGAGCTGGAAAGGGCTCTTGCCAGGGCTGAGAGTTTAACCCAGGAGTACAACAACGTGCTAAAACGATTCGAAGAGGAGATGTTCAACACCTCTAGTGTGCTGGACCTGTTCAACAAGCAATTCGGCTGGGTGTCCTCTCTAGCGAACCACACCAAAAATGAAGATGGCTTCTTTAAAATACAGGCTGTAGGTGCTAATTATGTGATTCAGCACAACTGTAACTGCTTCCACTATGCAGATCTCTCAACTGCCAACATTTTATGTGCAGGTGATGTCAAAAGGCTCAGATAACGCAGAGAACCCAGGAGACACTAAAGTGTCAGTCAAACTGTTTGACGGGCCAGATATGAGCTTCACAGTGCCGGGAGACATTCCTTGGAGAGACCTGAAATTCTCAGAGGTGGTGGCACAGGAGGCTTTGGATCGTTACAAACAGAACATTGTGTGAGTCTTAACATCAATCCATTTTAATTAGCTAAAAATCTTATTAATATGATTAAAAATGCATCAAATATATTCATGTTTTCCTCTCCAGGGTCACAAACTAAACGTTTTGGAGGGCGGGTGCTTCTGATGAAGAAAAGATATTCTCTGAGAAACCTGAAAAGCACTTGAGAAGATCCTTATGAATTAGAATTATAATATTGAGAGATGTTGTATTCATGTAGCTGGATGTCTTTTGTCTAGCATTATTCCTGCTGTTTCATCCTGCTTAACACTCAGAGGCCCCATTGTATAGAAGTTGCTTATGAACTTATAATCAACTGTACATTGTCAAATACCAATAAAACTCAAAACTCCACTTTTTTTCCCCTCATGTCTAAATGAGCTAAAAGATATGTGGTGTAACATTTTCAGCATAGCAAGACAATTTCACACTGCAGATTTTCAGACATATTTTAATAAAGGTAAAAAGTCACCTTCTATAACCTTCACTCTATTTCCTCCACTGGTGGAACTTCCAGTCTCCAGCCAAACAGCAGGAAGCTTTAAAACAGGGCTGAAGATACATCTCTTCTGAGAGCATGCAAGTAATTCATAACCTTATTATTAATTGCACTTAAAAATGAATTACTTCTGTGCTTTTCTGCATTCTGCATGGTAACAAGTTTTGCTATCACAGACATTTTTTTTTACCCTTGGATTAATAGCTTCTGCATAAATGATGAATGTGTTAATATAATTAATAATTAATCTGAATATATAATTATAAAATATAAATATATAAGACTTCTATTCTTGATACTCTTTATCCTAAAATATTTAGGTTTAAATTATATTTTTAATGTGGTTTTACATTGTAGACATTAGGGTAGAGCCAAATATAAATTTTTGACACGAAAATGAGGCTCGAGGGACAGAAGCACTTTGCTCAATGGATTGTACTGCCGTTTAACAACATAAGGATTGTTCATTTTACAAAATGTCTTTCTGGAAAACTTTCAGTAGACAAAAACTGCATAAAACAGTTGTGAAAATTGTAATCTACTACCTTCATACAATAGACCTTTAACACAGCCTCATTTTCCTCCGCATTAAATGTCTAACCCAACTAAAGTCTATTGTTTCAGCTCTAATCAAATTAGAGGATCGAAACAATGTATATTTTTGTATAATTATTCTGCATAATTCCGCATGACTGAGAGCGCGATATTGCTTTTATACAACAGCCGAAACAAGCTTAAACAAAAAGTTAGCAAGCAGCTTATTTAGACACGATATTTGTCGAAATAATATTGCTAGTTTTTTCCTCCACACAAAGTCAAAACGGAATCAACCTTCGGGTATCCTAGCAACACACACATTACAGAATCAGTGTTTTTGAACAAATCAATGATCGAAGCGAAAAATTCAATTCAGTGTTTTTGAACTCGCTCACTTTCGACTCATAAAAACCGTTGCTTACAAGTTGACTCTAAAGCACTACTGGAAAACAGTTGGAGCGCTTGACAAAAAAGGAAATTATTAAAATATTGTGCCATTTTTATTTTTTTTTGTGTAAAAATCACACAGCCGCTAGTTCATTCTGCAGAGACACATCCATGCAGTTTAACATTTATGATCCCACAGCCATAATATAAGCAATTAAATAGAATATTTGCTGTTAGTCAGCAATTAATGCAAATTTACATATGAGATCAAAAGGTGTGTATCGTACAATATACAACATACCCCTGATACAGTAAATCAGCCTGAACAGCAGGGAGAAAAGGCTCGCCTTGGTTTAACATGGGGGGGATACATTACTGTGAAAACCTGCACACCGGGAAGTAACGTTAAGGCTTTAAAGGAGGAGTAAAAGAAAAACACGGACAACAGTCAAAACAAACCTACGAATGAAAGACACGGTGCAAGTCTATGTAACAACACAAACGTCACATTAGTTCAGACGTTACAGATACAAATCGAGAGGTTCATCGTTAAGAGCCTTTTATACAAAATGAGACTGTGAACGACATGCAAAAAATAGTGAGGAGAAAAGACAAATGAAAGCCGAAGGGGAGAAAGTGCAGTCATTGTTTTAGGTCTCAGGTTTACGTACTAATGATGTCACAAGAGTTTATGATGCAGGACTGGTTCAGATGATGTACCGTTTGAGACTGAGAGAGGGACACCTGCCATCCCGGGGTGAAAGACTGTACAATGTTGAATGAGTCGTTTTGTAATAACACACCAGAGTGTGTTAAGAGAAGAAAAGAAAGCAGTTTTTGATGTCATACCTGTTGTCCTCAAACTCTCTCACGCACAGATGTGCCGTCCACCGGTATGGCCAGGAAGAAATATTAAAGGGGCAGTTCATCCAAAAATAACAATTCTGTCATTTGCTCAAATCCCATAAGATTGTCTTTCATGTGACACAAAAGGTGAATTTTTGGAGAATATCCTGGTCACTCTTTTTAATATAATGAGAGGGCTTACAAACAGGAGCAGCGTAAAAGTATCCCATACAACATTTGCATTATATTTCTATTTATTAAAGCCATAAAATTGATTTTGCACGAGGAACAGACTGAAATTTAAGTTCAACTCAATGATTCAGTCGCAGCAGAAGAACACTACACAAAAAAAATCAGTGTCTGTTCCTTGCAAACACCAATCATATGACCATGAAATCATTTCAATATAGCACACTTTTTTGGAGTATCTTTTGTATTATTGGAGCTTGAAATCCCCAGTCCTTGTTTACTGTCATTATCTGAAAAAGATCAGCCACCAATATTCTTAAAAAAAAAAAAGTCATATGGGTTTATAACAACATGAGGCTGAATAAAAACTAAAGAATTGTAATTTTTGAGTGAACTGTCCCTTTAACAAGTGCCTGTCAGAATCAGTTTTCTAAAGCGTACTTCTGAAATAGTATGATCTCCCAAAAATCAGTTCTCCCCTCTGTATGACCAGTGCATGGCCTAACATGATTGTCTGAGCACACACGGGTGCCTCTTACATGGAAGAACATGACAAGCTGCCTCGGGACTCTGGAGAACAGGAGGGGAAAAGGCTCCTTCATGTTTACCAGAATTACAGCCTCCTGCCGGCCATGACGTCAGGCTCTTGCCTCACACGCTAAACATAACCTGCAATGTCTGGGGTATTACACATACAACCACTCAGACTTTCTGTTTCATCAAAGTGCCATAACGGATAATGTTCCTGGACCCCATCCCTCTGAATGGCTGTGTGAGACAGAACAGTCTGGAGGAAGCAGCGATTGTGTCTCTTCTCACACAGTCAGCAGAGGAGTGGAGACGGGTGAAATGGACATCCTGCCAGAGGATCCAACAGACCACTCAAAAAAAGAAAAAGAAAAAACTGGGGTAATCACTCTTTCATACACACAAACATTCAATCTGAAGCGAACACACACGCTGTTTACAAATGCGAAAAAGGTCTAAGCTGTTCCAGTTGCACTTCAAGCGATATTCTTTCTTCTAGCAGGTCCTAAGACAAAATTTGGAAAAAGACAAATTGTCAGAAATTTGAACAGCTTGTCTTATGAAAAAAGAAAAAAAACAAAAACGGTGGTCACATTCAATGACATCTCACAGTACCTTCAGCTGCTGCTGTAATTCACTGTTGAGTCTGGCTAAAACTGTATTCGTTTCTTTGTTTCTTCTAATGGAAGCCTGAATGGCCTTCTTATCTTTACCGATAGACCTGTTTTTAAACAGAACAGGAAGAGGAAGCATGCTTTAGGGTACAAGCAAACATTGTGAACATCGCTGGGCAAACCTCTCAACAAAAACTCCAGTACATATATAAGGGGAAAAAATATACTATATTTGCATACATATATTGCATTTTATTAATGTTCATCTATAAATATGTATTCGTATTTATTTATATTTATTATTTATATAAAATAAATTATATTTATTATTTTAAATGTATTTATTTATTTATATTTATTTATTTATTTTAAATTATATGTATTATTTTTATTTTTATTTATTATTTATTATATTTATTTTGAATATACAGTAATAAAAATATAACTGTATCCAAAATAAATGTATTGACATTTTATATTTATTGCTTAATTGTGAAAATAATGCCACAATCAATAGAAAAATAAGTAAATCAAATCAAATCAAATTTTCCATATTCTCTCCTGGTGGAGTGACTGACGACCTCACCGTGGAATTGAGGGCTGGGTTGCTAGAACAGTGGCTATGACGTTAGACTTTTGCGGAAGGTCCTCCACATCTGGTCTGAGCTCATCTTCTGATTTCAGTCTTCGACGAACGGGTTTAGGGGGTGGGGCCAATGGAGTGGATACTTTGGCCTGTCAAAAACATACACTGAGCGATTATAATGCTGAAGTAATATGCAATATGAAGATTAGTTGGTAGAGAATGGCTTACAGAGTTGACAGTGGTTGCATTTCGTTCCTCTGACTGAACGTCGTTCTTTGCTGTTTTCATCGTCCCGGTGGTTTCTGCACATCTTTCTGCCTGTATGTATACATATGCATTATATATAAACAACAGTTCAATAGTTTAGGGTCAGTGAGCCTTTTTTTGAAGAAAGAAAGAAAGAAAGAAAGAAAGAAAGAACGGTACGGTTTCCACAAAATATTAAGCAGCACAACTGTTTTGTTTTCATTAGTGATAATAATAAGAAATGTTTTTAAACACCAAATAAGAATATTAGAATGATTTGATCAAATAAATGCAGTCTTGGTGAGCATTTTAAAAAATCGAAACTTTTGAAGGGTACTGTATATACATTTCTTTATAGGAAATGTAACATTTACTTAATACGTGCTGAAGTGCATCTGTGCATATTTTTTGCATCACAAAAAAGGTTTTCCTTCATAATCTGTCGTCATCATAATAAAAGGCTCCATTTGTACCTGTCCACTGTCAGATGCATTCTCTCCATCATCTGCCGGCTGGTCAACAGCAAAAGCCTGGAACTGGCTGAAGTCAGCAAAGTTGGGCTGTTCTGGCATCTGATGGGGTGACGTGCTGGTATGTGCTGGAAGACCATCTCCCTCTACCGAACGGTGACCATGTGGCACTGATGTCTGGGGATTTGAACATTACATATTGAATGACTCTTCTAAAGAACGTGTAATAGTTATCTAATTATCTGAAAGCAGTTTATACAGAATTGCTAACCACTGGACTATACCTGTGTGGGCAGTGGTCTGGGAGGCACTGCTGGGGGAAAGGCAACTACACCCGGCTGCTGCGGACCTGATGGAGAAGAAAATACAAAAGAGAACTTCAGCTTTTCCTAACCGCACCCCAACGAAACATGAAGCTATGCGTTACCTGATAACTGTTTGTGTGCATGCATACCTGCAGGGACAGCAGCAAAGTTTCTGTTCATGTCTAGAGAGGAGGAGCGTGAGTGAGAGGCGTGGGGGCGGGGTGGAGGCGGGGGCGGAGCCACAACCTTCAGTCCTTCCGGAGAGGTGCCAGAGTGAGATCTGTAATAGCACGAGCTGTAAATACTTTTTGACTAGAAATGTCACACCATATTCTAACCCAGCATTTACCAATCCCAGTCCTCGCATGATAACATATGATAAAAAAAATTGAATCTAAACCACTAAATTATTTCCAAATCTAATTCATGTTAATCTGAGCTTTTCTTCTAGCTAGAACACCACAAACATCAAAGAACAAAGTCTGCTGCAAGACATTAAGTACCTTTGTCTGTTCACAGCACTGGAAATGGGCTCTTGATCAGATGTAAATGAATCTGAACTGCTATAGCCATCTCCTGTAAGAAGGAAGGGTAATGGCTCTGAATGAATTATGGGAGAAGATTTCCTGTCAGTCAATTAAATGCTTGAATAGCCCAGATGTACTTACCAACAGTGGTACCAGGAAACTTAATAGTTGCTGCTAACTTGGCCTCATCAGAAAGTTCTGGTGGTTTCGCCATTAACGGACTTGTTGGATGTGTGTGATCTGTAAAACCAAGAGTAAGTAATTCAATTTGTTTAAAATCAAATTATTACATCCATCCATCTAGTAACTACACTACAGTTAAAAAGTTAGGTTTTTTTTAAATATAATTTTATTTGGCAAGGATGCATTAAATTATTCAACAGTGACAGTAAAGATTTTTACATTGTTTAAAATATTTTCCATTTCAAATAAATTTAGTTCTGTCAAAGATTTTATTTATTGAAATATCCTGAAGAAATTCATGGTTTAAAAAATATATTAAGCAGCACAACTCTTTTCAACACTGATAATAAGAAATGTTTCTTGATCACCAAATCACTATATTAAAATGTGTTACACGTGACACTAGAGACTGGAATAATTTCAGCTTTGCCATCACAGAAATAAATTACATTTTAAAAGAGATTAAATAGAAAATGGTTATTTGTTTGTGATAATGTAATTGTAATAGTATTATTATTATTATTATTATATTTCACAATAGTAACGTTTTACTGTATTTTTGATTAAATTGAGCCTAGATTAGCATAAGAGGTGCTTCTTTCAAAAACATTTTAAAAAATCTTACATAGCCCAGACAGACTTTTAAATGATAGTGTATGTTAATGATGGATTGTGGAAGAAAGTCCTATAAGAGATTTCTAGACTGAAAATTACATGTCCTATTAAACAACTAGGTTTCACATTTTCTGAAAACAAAACAAAAAAACATTGGCGCTTCTGCACATTTGACTGTATTAATACAATATAAAAAGGGGTTCTGGTCAAATAAAGCCTAAACCTAAGTCTCTGTGATATGCAAAATATGGCCTTTAATCCTTTCTTCAATGCAGGTCATTTCAGGGTGAAAAATCATTTAAAAAAACAAATAATTCTATACCCCTAACCTCAAGTATGAGCAATAGTGATTAAGATGGAGAATACATCAAAAATAACAACAATAAAATAATTTGAATTTTGAGAATAAAACCTTCAAATGTTACTGCTTAGAATTCAGTCAAAAATTGAGTTTGCACTGTAAATGCACATAAACGAACGCACCGCTTCCAGTTCTCTTGAGCTCCATCTCTTGCATGTGGATCTTGCTGGGTGTCATACGAATGGGCACAGGGTGGACTATTGCTGTATCCTACAATGAAAAAAGCACATCAACCGCTGCTGTCTCACAACTACAACTGTGTACCTAATGAAGATTTATCATCTCAGTCATAAAGAAGAACAAGGAATAGTTAAGAACCTGACACTGAGTAACTAAACAAACATTTTATCACAACACCATCAAAGGACAGCCAGCAGAGTCATCACTTGGATTACATGATACAGTATGAGAGAAAGAGCATGAAAGAATTACCGGTAAGCTCAGCAAGCAAAAGAAAAACAAAAATGAATCATTTGATGATGGCACTGTGGCTGTGAATTTATCCTGAGGACATGCGCTCTCAGAGAGAATTTACAGAGTACTGGGTTAATGAATATCATTAATCATGAAAGAGCACTGAGTGATTGACTTACAGGGTCAGCTGGTGCAATGTTAGAATCAAATTGGGTCAGAGTTTGTGAGCTTGAGGAGCGTTCGCTAAAAGTCTCCCACTGCTGGAGAGACAGAGCAGAGACATGTCAACAAGGTAGAGCAACTCCACTCCTCACACAAGCAAACAGAGGCCATAATACAACAACAGAGTGCCCTTTCCGCCCTCTGACTGTTAGGAGAAACCCGTGATTTGTCCTGCATTGTACTGTTGCATTCTCTCTGGTGTCCACAGAGGACCAATTGTCTTCCTAATGACCTTATAGGCTGAGAGGTAGAATGTCACATTTTATTTCCCGATTACGAGGATCAGCTTAGAAGAAACAGGCTGTAGTCATCAAAAGAGAAACCCCAATAATTAGATCTTGTAGATCAAAACGTACTGACCTGGGCTGCGTTTCCCTAAATCATCATAAGCCTAAGTTGATCGTTGCTCCATTGGTGATTAGGCTTACGATGCTTTTGGGAAACACAGCCCTGTTTAAAGATGAAGTGTGTAAATTTGTAGTCAATTAAAACTACAAAAAGAATGACTATTTGAACAGGTTTTTTGAACAGTCTTCCCATCTCCCTCTGTCATTGGTCAACAAAACAGATATTCCCGGCCTAAACTCCACTGCCATTGGTTGAGCCAATATTGCCATGTCAGACCGGTCGGGATGCTCTAACAAATATTTTGCAAGCTCCCTATAGCCTTTTTTATTTATTTATTTTTTTAATTAACCAATAAATATCTCACTTAAAGTTACTTAGTACCTATTAAGCTGGGATAGGAGAAAGCATTTAATATTCAAATAAAATAAGAATTTTCAAAATGAACTGAAATCCAACATGAAATCAAAATGGACCCTTTTTGCTGTCTTAAATGTCTCCAGTCCTATTTTGCAATATTTAACTATTATTCTGTAGGTAAATGTTTGGAAGCCAATTTCTACTATATAAGGGGGAAAAAACATGCTTTGGTAAATCATGATTTTGAAATAAAAATTTGAAACCATGACACAGTGTCATAATGATGACATAAAATTGACTTGAAATCATAATTTTGACTTCTTAACTCATAATTATGACATAGTATCTCATCATTTTGATATGAATTGATAGGAATTGTCATAATTATTTACCAAGTATGATTTGGGATATCATAATAATGGGATATCATAGAAACATGTTACTTTTCATCATATTTTATTTTAAAATGTGTAAAACTTTTTCTGGTTTCAAGCTGACCTAACCTTGAAAAATAATATCAACCAATAAAATTATAATATTTACACACATGATCCAATCAAATCCTGCCACTGTTTCCCACTGAATATTTTGTTTCACTCTGAAATGTGTTATATTATGGAGTATTCCATTAAAAGTATTCCAGGAGGTTAATCTAAGACTTTAAAGGGGTCATATGATGCTGCTAAAAAGAACAGTATTTGGTGTATTTGGTGTAATGAAATGTGTTTATGCGGTTTAAGGTTCAAAAAACACATTATTTTCCACATACTGTACATTATTGTTTCTCCTCTATGCCCCGCCTTTCTGAAACACGTCGATTTTTACAAAGCTCA